GATAATTGTTTATTAAAAAAAAACATAATTAAAAAGTTTAAAATTACTTTACCAACTAATTAATTATTATCAATGAAAATTCATAATGAGTTTTAAAAAACTCAAAAATATACGAATTTTTAGTTAAATTTACTGATCAAATTAAAACCATTTTGTTAAGAAAAGCCATGAAAAAGTTCAAATAATTAATTAACGAAGTACCAAAAGACAATTTCCCCTCTCATTGTTTATGCTAATTAAGCGTAAGTAATCTGATTTAACAAATTGTTTGATTAGTAAATACCACATTGAATTAGTTTACTGGTGCAACAAATCAAATTCGGTTTCTAGTACAGCGATCAGCAGAATTGGATCAATTGCCTCATTATAAAATAATATCTTTATGAGGTTATATGTCAACAATCGCAAATATATCACCATAAAATGGCCGACAAAGTCCGACCGTGACGAAACAGGAAATTTGATAAAAAATAACAGACAAAAAACGAATTTGTGATTATTCACAAATTTAATTACACCACTTTTGTAACATAATTGCAATCTTGTAATTCGTATTTTTTTCTCAAAACTTTTAATTCGCTCTACGATAACGTCCGAGATTTAGCTATCACTCTGACGTCAATTGCTGAGGTAATAATTACAAAATAATTTGTTCAAATCGTAAGAAAATCGATAATTGAGAGGTTTTTTCACAAAGCCGGTCCTGCAAATTGGTTTTATTCCAACCGTATTATTAAAGTTTGGTAAACAAGGCGAATTATCTTATTTGATACATTTAGAGCAATGATTTCGCATTAAAGTCACTTTATCTAAAAAGAATTTCGTCCAAAGTCCAAAAGCGACAAGACCGAGGATCCCCGATCCAAAGTCTACCAAATAAAAACATTTTTTTGTAATAACGAGGGGGCAGTCACCTTCGGTAATTGGACTTTGGGAATTTCCGGAACATCGGAGTCCCACTCAGAGCTCAGATCATCACTGGAGGCATCGGCGTAGTCAGTGGGTACAGGCACTTCCAGAAGACTTTTTTGGTACTGCTCGTACCCTGTCGAGGCGGTTGAACCCCGTCTGGAACCCGGAGTCCCCGGACTTGCGCTCCTCCGGAAAAGACTTCCACGACGACTTAAGCGGGGAGAGGTATCCGAACCCGGTGAAGGCGACCGAGAGGGCGAGCGGTTGGGGGAGAGACAACCCTCTGCAAAGAGGCGCAACTAGGAGGGGGCACTTTGCCAAATGAAAAATGAAAAGTAAAGTGGAAAAAATTGAACAAATATGTCCACAACTTCATTGTTAAAAAAAATAAAACAGAAAAAGATAAAATAAATGAAAAAATAAAAATCGAATGAAGAAATTTACTTTCTCGTATGTTTTAAGGAAATTTTTAATAATTTTAAATATTTAAAACGGTATAATTAATAAAAAAACTGTAATACGTTTAGCAGTTACACATTACAAAAGCTCAGAAAATAAAAACATTGAAATTATGTGTAAAACGGTAGCATAATGTGAACAAACACCTGACATATGAAAAAAAAAGTTTCAAAAAATACCAAATAAAAGATGAATTTTAGAAGAGAAATATGAAGTTGTAAATCAAAAAAATTCAAAGAGTGGATGAAAAATTAAAATAACAAATAAAAATATGTTAAGCACAGTCAAGATAACTATTCACGATGTAATGCTTAATCAAATAGAAATACACTCTTAAAAATGGAACCAACTGATATTTTTCAATTAGATGGATTGAGTTGTGAGTGTGTTATTTCTGGTTATAATTAAGTAGTTAAGTATCTTAATTGGTATAAGCCTATTAGAGCTTATCTTAAAAAGTGATGAAATTCAGTGAAAACAATGACATGTTGATAATAAAAGAGTGACAAATGGTTTGAAATAAGTTTAACGAGAATATAAAAAGAAATTAGAAAATAAAAAAAAACTACTAGAGTTACACAATAGTGTATTTTACAAAATTGAAAAAAATGACAATTAGTTTAATTTAAAAATTAAATAAAGAAATGGCACAGAAGATCAAAAAGGTGAAAGAAGCAAAAGTATTTGCTCATAATTTAAGACATCCTACGCAGTTAGTTAGATTCCCTTATTTACAGTATGAAAATTATCCGAATCAGTTGGCAGAACAGCCAATGCCAACTCATACGCAAAACGTAAATTCCTAATTTCCAACCACAAAATGCTGCAAATACCAAACCCGAAATACCTCTCAAATCACGAAGAAAGTAAAGATATTTGAAATGTTGTGATAATTTCCCTAATGAGATCAGGCGCCTCATACGTAGAAGGCAAATTCCACAACGTGAAACTTAATGAAAAAATGGCAAAGTGTCACCCCCTGATGTACCTGAACCCCTCTGGACGTTGCTATCGTGGTCGAAGACGCACGGCGACGGCGAACACGTGATTTCCGGCGAGTTCGGATAAAAGGGACACCCACACCCGTCTTCGGGGTTTTTCGACATCACTATTTCTGGTATGATATAGCCGTAGATCTGAGGCATTATTTCGCGATCACATCTCGTCTTTTACTGACGAGTTTCACTCGATTTTCACCGCGACTTTCTTCGCACTAAGATAAAATAGAATCGCGCTGCTTCGCGGTGCATATGATACCCAAGTTCGAATGTCGTGACGTCCGAGGTTTGAGGCACGCAAGCGTCAGAAAGACAATTCGACTATGAATGAGGTTGATGTGGATTTGCCGCACCAGTGTCGTGCGACGGGGGTTACAATTTACGCAAATTCCGAATCTAATTTTAAATCGTTTATTGCGATGAGGCACATCTGAATAATAAACAGAGAATTCAACAAATAACTAGGGGAAATGGGATTGTGCTGTCGTGAAAACCAGTTCATAACTGTCATTTTCCATATACGTAAACGTAAATTCCACCAAAGTTATTACGGTGATAAAAAGAACAAATAATGAATTTTGATTAAAGTGCAGCAGACATTCTGAAACAGGTTGCAGCTGTCTGCATTGAATTACTTGCACCAAATTTTGTAAAAACTTAAAAATACTACAACTGATTAATTACTTAATGAATTATTCATAATTAAGCAAACCAACAATGTATTAACTTTCAATAATCGTTTATTAATAAATCATGTGTGACGTCTGCAGTTCCCGTTTTTGGTTTCATCCTCTTCGACTTCAAAATAAAAATAAATAATTATTCAATTAGCTAACTCAATAATCAAATAACAATCAAAATAAACATAACAAATTTCTTTATATTCAACAATGCAGTTGCCAAACTAAGTTGTAAAAATTTTGAATAAACTTTTTTGATTTAAGATATAGCACTACAAAAATTTAAAAAAAACCCACTAAAACACCATACCTATATTAAATTTTAGGCACTTTTTCGCTTTTACATAAAAACTCTTAATCAAATTATATCAAAATTTATTAAAAATTAATTTTCTATAAAAATTAATAATCATGGTTCAAAATCAATGTAGGTCATCCAAAATCAAATCCCTAATGGTACGCCTCTGCTTCCGGGTCGAACGGTCGTTGCCACATTAACCTCATACAAGATAGTGTCGAGATTTTTATGGTAAAGAAATAACCATCTCGTCCAACTCGAAAAAATCCAAACGAAATTTAATTTTTATTTCATTTCACTGACGTACATGTAAACATTTCACGCTTTTACGTCCAAACATAAACCATAACCTTGCAAAATGGACGGAATATCATTTTAAGCGCATGGAAAAATCATGTAAACAAACAGAGATTAAAATCTGTCATAGGCATGTAAACATGAAAATTTATAACACGTGTAAATACCCTGTATATCATGGATTCCGCAAAATCTAATTAAATTCGAAACAGCCGGAGCATTAATTACAAGTAATTAAGACTACCTACGAAAATCCTGTTAGTCCGCTCCTGGAATTTTCTCTATTTTGTGTTATTCAAAGAATAATAGTTTAATTAGTATGCAAAGCTCCCAGGTGTCTTCTAATGTTCTATTTACATGTTGGTATAAATAGATTTGTATGTGTGTTTTATATTGCTAGGGTGAGGTAGGGAAAAATTCTCATCGATTGTGTAAGGAGAGATCCGACGCGGATGGAATTGGTCAGTGAAGGAGATCGGTCGGTTAAAGCGGGCATAAAACGTAACAAATCGATGATAATTCAAGTTCCTGGGCCATTAGCCAATCCAAAAAAGACAAGGCGTACCTAATTGCTTGATTAATGGGTGAGGTGGCCATTGTTGCGTACGTAAACGTTCGTTAATTGACAATAAGTGACGACAATGGGCAATTTATAAACGATGAATGACACCCAACATGGGCCTAAAGTGACAGAGACAATCGAAATTTCCGTTTTTGTTAGGCAATTAGAGGATAACCAAATCCAAACTATTTCTTTTAATTTAGTTTCAACCGCAAATCGAGAAGTTAAAGAAACAAATTGTTAAAGACGAAAAGAATTTTTGAAAAGCATGTTTATGACTTTTTAATTGCGCCAACGTCAAGCAAAATATCGACAAATGCGTCAATGTTGTATAGGTTTATAGAATTTGAAGGAAAACATTCCATTAACTTCATTTTACATAAAATGTGATATAAATATTCCTTTTCATTTTCCTACTTAATTTCCATCGTTTCCATCAAACAGATTCCAGATTTAACATTGTCCTAAATTTTTGCAAACCATCTGACAAAAAAAATCCTGATTTTAATTGAAATAACTCGATTTTAAAAATCAATCAATTTTTCTATTTTGAATTTTGAAGATTCTAATGATGTTCTACTATTTTCAATGTTTTAATAAATCAATAAATCTTCTAATAAAATGTTCCAATGTTGTTGTGTTCAGATTAGATAAAATTAATCTTCTGATGTTCACATTCTACTCAAGAATAAACAAATGTAGGTCAACACCCTAACTGTAGGGAGTGCGCATTCTTAGTAAATTTAAATAAAAACATTACTAAGTACTATTTTTTAAAGCAGAATTTTTATTTCAAACCCAAGCAATAATACAATCTTTTAGTAAAAGCATTTTTGCTGATCTATATACAGTTTTCCAGAATTTGTCATTATCCGAAATTTTTTTTTCTTGTATTTTCTTTGTTATATAGGTATATTGTTCAATCGACGACAATTTGCTTTAGCTCAGTTTCCAATAATGACTTTCCTCTCGTTATTAGAATCTAGCTTATTAGATCAAATGGTGATTTTACGGTTGTCAAACTATCAAAGATCGATTTCGCTGAAATCCGATTATATAATCCCAAGTGTTTCAAATCTGGCGTCAAAATTATGTAAAATGCACAATTGTCGATTCCCTAATAAAAAACACACATGATATCTCGACCACAATGCTAGACAATAGTTCGAAAAGTGTTGTCATTCATGTTACATCATTGTAAAAAAAGCACCAAGAAAGAGAAAGTCCGAACCACAAGATGCAATGGAACGAACATTTGTCAATAATAATAAAATCGACGTCACACCTCTTTGCGCTCCTATTTTCACTTAAATCGAAAAACAAAGCCGTTGCAGAAAAATCGTATAAATAGCCGTTTATTGAACTCGAACAATCAGTCTCGATTTGGTCCTCTAGGTGTCTCACTCGAAAATGTTATCGTATCGGGGCTTGTGCGTCCTGGGTCTTATCGTGACCCTCGGGATATGTTTGACCTCATCCAGAGAAATCTCCCGGCAAAAAAGGGACCTCGTCGACCTTGAAACCGCAGCGTCACATGGCCACAGCTGGAAAAAGGGCGGCGGCAAAGAGCACCACTCCGACCATCATGGTAGCCATGGAGAAAAGGGCGATAAAGGCTACAAAGGCCACCACCATCACGAAAAAGGCCACAAGGGTCATCATGACAAAGAAGGCCACAAGAAACACTTCGAGGAACACGGGGGACACAAAAAAGGCCACCACCACAAAGATGGCTACTATGGTGAACACCACAAGGGAGAAAAAGGAGAAAAGGGACACAAATACGGAGAAAAAGGATCCTACAAGAAAGGTCATAGCACTAAAGGAGGACATGATGTCCACAAGTTAGATGAGTACAAAAAAGAGAAACACTTCTACGACGAAGACCACGATTCTGGTCACCATGAGAAACACGGAGGGTACCACCACCATGATGGGTACAAAAAGGGAGGCCACAAGAAAGGAGGACACAAAAAGGGCGGCCACCATGAAGACCACTATGGTAAAAAAGGACACCACGAGCACGGATCACATCACCATGAAGACAAAGGCCACAAACATGCCGGTGGTCATGAAGAGCATTACGGCCATGGGTCTAAACACGCCAAGAAGGGCGGTCATGAAGGGCACAAACACTGGGGATACAAGAAGAGCCACAAAGGCCACTAGAGTTGTTATACTTGAATTGTTGTTGCTTTTTGTTCTGTTGATATTAAATGAAAAATAAAATTGTTGTTTATAACTCACCCACCCTGTATAACACGTGCAAGACCATAAGTGCAGCAAGGGATACGGCAGAGAGTTCCTGTTGTAATAATCGACGACTATATCGAGTAGATCCATCACAAACTGATGGATTACGTTGTTGATAATCGCATTAGAAAAATAAATGGTTCAAGTTCAAGCAGTTTTGCCATATTAGCTACCGGATTGTCTATTGTACGTCGTAATAATTATGACTAATAAATAAAGATTGAATTTTTTCCGGTTTTTCGTAAAACCGCAACTGTGTTCCGGGTATTTCAAACCGAAATTTTGCGGCTAACCGACAAACGTTCTTCCTTTAAATTCCTAAAATAATCGTTTGTTTCTTCAATTTCAAAACAGCATTGTCATATGTTTGTTTTATGTTTCATCATGACATTCAAGACTCGAAGTAGTCAATAACTGTGTTAGGGAGTTTATTTTCTTTAACGTTTTACAAACAGTTCTAAGTAGACAAGTTTCGCATTAAAATATTTATGTCTTAGAATCGGATATTTTCTAGTAAGTACATAGAATGGATGGTATGTGTTAATGTCAGATTACTTGAAAGGTATTACAAACAGTAGAACGGAGATAACAAACTCATGAAAAGTCTCATTAAATTCCATTTTTGCTTTTCCAAAACCTTACAACGAACTTGTTCAAGGGAGTCTTATTCAAAAACATAAAACCCGAGACAATCATCTGTGTTCTCAACTACACCCATTTTCAATAAAATGGATTAGCGTTGAAATATCAAATATAATATATTTATAGTAAAACAATTTTTTTTTATTTTTAAGCGATCCACTTGATTTGTGAGTAGTTTTTTATATAATTTTCTTCAGTTTTGAAAGTAATTTTTACGCGTGGCGAAAATAAAGAAGTCAGCCGTTTAAAAATTTGCTCTTAATTTAGTAATATTAATTACTCAAGAACTCAGAATGTTTAATTAGTGTTATTTCACAATAAACCCTTTTCTAGAAATTCAAAACCGATTTAAATTGTCGATCCATTTTCATCAAGATCGTAATAAGCTTTTACGTAGTTTATTTTTGTATCTAAAATTACTTACGTTTAAATTTTATGAAGCAGTATAATGAATTTTATAAAAGAACAAGCAGTAAAAAATATTGCAGTTCAACTTTTCATTAAGGAATCTTAATCAAATCGTCTTCCAAAAAAATATCCTTATGACCAATATTTTCAGAGAGAAATACACATTCGCGCGGCAAATCTTATCAAATAACGTCGCTTTTCAGTCAGTATTTGAGAAAAAAAAAATTGTAAACAAAATTGCAACCATTCCGAACATATTTGTGTATATCAGAATCAGATTTCCTAAATAAAACAATCGTACGGGAATTACAATTTTTGTAAATGTCTATTTCCCTAAAATTTGTTCTTCAATTGGCTATTATATATTGCCTATTTCAACAGATAATGATGGGTATAATGATCAAAAAGCTGTTTCAATTTTCATTTTATTATTTATAAATACAAAATTGTTGCAATTTCGCTTCGAATTATTGTTTCTTAATTTCGTCAGTTCTCAAGCCAAGTCCCAGCCGGCGCCACCTTCCACATCGCCAATCTCCTTCACGTCTCGTGGCGCCCTCTTACCTTCTTTTTCTTACTATCCTCGACCGGTTGCGCGTACAAATCGGCGATCCCCAGGAGGCAGTCGTCGCACCTGCACACGTCGCTCGTCGTCGACGTGACCGACCCCATGGAACTAGCCGAATCGGCACTATCTGTCCGCACGAGCGGTTTGGGGTGACCAACGGTCACTTGCTCCATTTTCGCCACGAGGAGGCTTTCCATGAGCGTCTTGGGGCGCGACGACGGGTGCGCCGGCATCGGAATGGAATTACCGTTCGACGCCATCTCCGTAGGGTGAAATTCTGGGCGCGTGGGACGGGATTTATTACCACTGGAGGTTGGAAATGCGTTTTGTTTAAATTAGCTTGTCTCGTAAAAGTCGACGGCTAATTGACATGAGAAGAGAGGATTTTACGCTCAGTGGGCGGGTTCATTAGTAACATTTGGGAAAAAAATTGTTTATGAAGAAGTGCCAGATTTGGAAGATTTGGGACACAACATTTGGGCAAAAATTTAAAAACATCAAAAATTAAAACTGTGTAGTAATTACTATTTATTTTAAATTTATCAAGAAGTGAACTTTTTTAAACAAAAAAGCCCAAAGACTCAAAATCTACAATATTGTAAAAGAAGTAGTTTTTACAGTATCGATAAAATTTTAAGCATTTTATTCAATTTTCACATATAAATGTAAATGTTCTATTTATCCACTTCTTTTTGGAGTACAAAGGATTTTGACTTTGTAGATACCTATATTTAAAATAACAAAATTTGTTCAGCACACAATCCTTTTACACTGTTTTTAAATTAGTTTCACAACTAAAGTCGCGGTTCATAGTGGCCATTTAATTTATTGCAAAGTTGGCAGCCCCTAGCCCGCCACCTCTAGTGGTGGGTTGTGTCTATGTTGGCAGCAGAAATAATTAAATTGTGTCAACAATTGTGACAGGTGCAGTATATTTTATATGTGAAGTATTCAGACTTTTTCAGAATTGTCATTTTTAATAGATATGACCCTAAAAAGCAACTGGATTTACACAACTCAATTTTTACAAATTTACAAACAGGGAAGTGGCCAGTATGAATTGACCGCGACTTTATATAAAATCTGATGAAGTTAGTCCAGAGCAGATGTTAAAGCTACACTGGCCGCCAAAATTAATTAAATTAATTAAAATTTTGCGATTTTTCACATTGCAATATTTTTGTTATTCTTTTTCGGATTTCGACGAATTCTTGTTTGATGAAATGGAAGCGAGTCATCAATGCAATATTTAAGCGTTTGTGCCCCGCCAGGGTGTTTATAACAAGGGTTGCGAGCATAAGAAGAACAATTAATGTGCTTGGAGGGTCTGTTATTTACGCGACGCCGTCAACCATCAAGGTCTGGACGGCGAGGAACTAGTTCTTGGAGTAAAAAATACTGAAATCGTCGCAAAAAGTAGAATTACTTTTCAACCAACACTCAAAATAAAGTTGCGATCAATTCCCTGAGTAATTGTGTAAAAATTGAGTTGTGTAAAGTAGACTTTAAACATCCAATTGTTTTTCTAGGGACAAATCTACTAAAAATGATAATTCTGAAAAAGTCACGTTAGAATACTTCACATATAAAATTTAGTGCGCCTGTCACAATTGTTGACACAATTTAGTTACTTCTGCTGCCAACATAGACACAATCCACACACTAGAGGCACAGATTATCTATTTACAAACAGATAATACAAACAAACAGATAATCTGTGCAAGAGGTGGCAAGCTTGGGGCTGTCAACTTCGCAATAAATTAAATGGCCACTATGAATTGACCGTAACTTTGAATTATTCAATTCATTGCAGGTGCAGGGAGTTACAAAATGCTGGTAGGTTGAATAAAGGTTTGTTTTTTTTATCACATTTTTGTTTTAGATGTCTTCTGGTTGTGATTCATTAAGTAAGTGAATCTGAAGGTACGTAATTAAAAGATTATACAATAACATTTGTGGCATTATTGAATATTCCCACTACAGCATCTAAATTTTACAGGATTATTTAAATTCATTTATTGTCTGTCTGATCAATAGCAAACGATACAGAGATCCAAAATTAATATCAGAATATTTACCATTTATAAATCAAATCTCTCACATCTACCAAAGACCTTCTGGAGAAGTTGTCTTTATAGATGAAAATAAATTTTATTTTTTCTACTCTCACATCTAAAACACGAATTATCGTATATATTTCCATGACCTACATATACAGGCTTTCCGGAAAGTCGCGCACCTCCTTGAAATGGAGTAATTGTTAGTCCTCCAGAGTACTAAAAAAATGTTAAAAAAATTCTATCTGTCAAAAGATTTTGACATTTAACATTTTTTTGTCTATTTAATAAAACTGATGCTCTCGTATATGTTCTTTTATACTTATTTAGTAAAGGTACAAACATTTTTCAAATAAAAGCCACAAATAACATTAAACAGAGTTATAATTTAGGATACAGCTTCCTTGTTTCCTCTTCTTATAGCCTGTAGCAAAAAAACTTGGAAAATTATTTTTCCAACAGAAATAAATAGTCAAAGTGCAAAATTTAAACTCCCATAACTTCGAAATTTTTATAGACAGATTTTTTAAAACATTTTTCTTGTTGTTTAGGGCATTGCCCAATAATACATTGCCCAATAATATCGCATTGTTTGAAAAACTAATTATGAATCCATGTTAACTTTGCTTCCAATAATTTTATTTATCACAACTGACATTAAATTTATCAATAAGTCAAAATGCATTCGAACGATGAGAAAACAGATCAGATTCTCATTTATGGCGAATTTGGGAAAAAATGCTTCTGCCGTTGTGCATTTGTAAAGACAATGTTTCCTGAATAGAAACGCTCCAAAAAGGTTTGAATCACTAAAGTGTTTTCCAATGTTAGATAAACCGTCTTGTCAATTTCTTTGTGTCGGTCACGCGATAACTATGTTTTATTAATTTTAAAATTCATAATCAAAATCCATGAAGCCTATGCAAATGTATTGCTGGCTGTAGTTCAAATTTGGCCAGGCTCATTATCACTCGTGAAATACCCTGTATACATCTTTACAAGCCGTGACTAATATACGTATTAGTTACGTTGCTAATAGCAACTATCGTATTAGTCACGGGCTGAAGTTAGCTTTCTGTCATTTAATTTTTAATGTAAGTATATTTTTTTGTAGTGGTTGTAGAAAAAGTATACCTAGTATGTAATACGTGTATAAACTTCTCTAGAGATTCTCATGTCTAAAGTGGCGTGTATGGCACAAGTTACATAATATACTATTATAGACTTTCCTACTTTTCAAATAAAGCATTCTGGAAACGTTCATGAGTTAGGACTACCCAGTAATAAAAATATTCAAACAA